TACAACCTGTTCTGAAACTGTTGGTCTTTTCACTGGCTGCAAGCGTGCACAAACCACAGGAAGTACGTCTGGAGTGGCACCAGGTGAAAACCGCCCCTCTCTCCCCTGCAAGGCTAAGTTGCCTGAACTAACCCTGATGGCTGCCGTCCCCTGGGGTTTACTAAGTTGTCCATCACTACGCTCTCCATACAGTGCTACTTCACACTGAAAGCAACTTTTTGGAAAACTCTATTTGTGTTTTCTTCATTTTAAGCATGTGGTACTAAAAGACACCTTGGACCTTTTTTTAAAAAGCTCTTATGTTTTGAAAATAGAATTAAAAATTGGAATGTCCAATTAAATCACATCTGATGCCAGTGTGCCAAACTTTATGTGTGTTTTTGTGATTGGAGTTTCTTTGGTGGCTCTCTTTTACATACTCTGTTTAATTGTACAGTACAGTCAAAACTCACTAATTGGGTCAAAGTGGAATAATATTAACACAGAAATCCTATATTATATGTTATATAACATGTTAGGTAATATATGTAAAGAAATGCACTTTTATCTTTCAAACACATACCCACTCAAAACTAGGCTCACTAAATTAAAATGGGCTTAGTGACATCTTTAGGGGACCTGTTCTTTTTTTTTCCAAGTTTTTATTTAAATTGGTTACCTTACAGTGCTGTATTGGTTTCAGGAGTAGATTCTAGTGATTCATCACTACATATAACACCCAGAGCTCATCATAATGATAGGGGACCTGTTCTGATGAATGAATAAGACTGATTTTTACTCAGAATTACAACTGTGTGCAAATGGTGCTTCTGTACCACTGGAGGGTACTTAAAGATAATTTGGTCTCCTAAGTATTATAAATACTTGGCAGAATCTTCTTTATACTACCTATTAACCTTTGTGTAACAAGTGAGGGTTTATTCAGTAAGAATGAACCAGTCTCCAGTCCCATCCTGGTTAATTAGGTTTTACTACACTGTGGGAATTTTGTGCAACTGGTGGGGCAAAAGTTGTTCTTAGCCACAGCTCACAAAAACCTCAACTGTCCCCCATTGCACTTCCCAATTAGTGTAGGTACCTAGTACCTAGTACCTACACTAATGCAGTGGAGATAAATACAGTGTTGTCCACATTTAGTCTTCATTTCCTATTAAACCTGAGTGACCTTAGGGCTTGGTTTGCCCAGGACAGTCTCCATTTATGCCTGTTGTCCTGGCATAATTATTAATAGCACTCTTTGTCACTCTCAAAAGTGACCCAGTTTGGATGATATGGTTGCCCTATATTTAGCAGAAGTCTGATTTCTTTTAAGGCTAGGCCTCAAAGCCAAGGACCTATTCTCAAACCACAAGCAATACTCTTACAGTAGTAGTGTGGGGTAAGGAAACAGTGTGGGGAGACTTTCCTCCAAATTAGGGAATACTTGGCATAATATCTCTTGGATGATAACCAATATTTGAGTGCTTACCAAATGCCAGACATTGTTATAAGGCAGCTGGTATGAACCACCTTATTCTATCTTCACAATTACCGTGTGAGATTAGAGAATATTGTCATCCCCATCTTACAGAGGAGGGAACTGAGGTGCTGAGAACTTAAGCAAACTGTTCAAGATCAAACAGCTCATAAGTGGTACAGCTGGGATTTGAGCCCAAGCAGTCTGACTCTAGAGTTCACATTCTCAACAATGAAACTCTCCAAGGAAAAGACATTAAAACAAGGGTCAGTCTGTTAAGTACAGTTGAGGCATCGGTGGGCAGATTGTATGGACAGAAATGAACAAAGAAGGTAGCCAGAGGAGTAGTGCCTTTGTAATGTGTTTTCTTCGCCTTCTGCCTATTTCTGCCAGCAAGTGAAAACAGGAGAGATCACTAAAAGAAGTGGCACAGCCCAACCTGACCTTGCTGGTTCAAAAACTAGCTTTAGCAATAATGGTTGAAGAGAGTTAGTCAAGGAATTTACCCAGGGTCACCACAGCAGTAAACTTTGGAGCCAAAATTCAACCTCATTCCTTTGAACTTAAAGTCTTCCAACTGCAAATCCAGTGTTTTGAGAAGGGTTTTCTTCCCAATTTAAGGACCATCTGGGGCTTAAGCATGTGGCAAATTGAGATTAGGGACCTGTGGCATGGATTGTGCTCCATCTTAATATAAACAAGGGTCCAGCCACCCTGCCACCCTGTGAGATTTGCTACAAAAATATGCAGCCAATTTGAGAGCCCCATTGCAACAATTTATCTTTCTCTGTACTTGAATCATCTTGCCACATTGTATGCCAAATGAGGAGACTGTTTCCAGTTCAGAAGTGCGTTGAAGTATTCAGCTACCTGCTGCTGGATCTGAAAGAACACATAGAACAATCCATTTTCATGTCCTCTTTTTTTTGGTCTAGATTTTAGGGTGTCAGTTGGCCATCCTGTATCCTGCCCTCTTCCTCTCACTGCCTGTCCATGAAGACCCAGGGCAAATCTCATGTCTTGTTTATATTGCCAACCAGTCATGATCTCACCTTGCAGTGAACTCTTACAGCCCCACAGACTCCTTCCCCTCTGTCTGTAAACATATGCATTTCTCTTGTCCTAAAAACAATCATTCATGAGTTCTACATCCCCTGATATACTAACTCCTTCCTTCCACAATTAAATTTCTTCAAAGAGGAAGCTACACTTGACACTAATCCTTAACCCCTTGCAGTCTGGCTTCCTCCCCTGCCTTGTGTTTGGTGGAGTTTTTTGGTTTGGTTTCGTGAGGTTTTTTTTGTTTGGTTTGGCTTTTGGGGTTTTTTTGTGTTTTGTTTTGTTTGGAGAACATCAGTGAGCTCCTAATGGCAATGACGTTTTTACTACCTCTCCCTTCTTATAACCCACATCATCCCTCGATTTCTGTGAAACTGTACTACACTTGTTCTCAACCAACTATTTCTTTTTTGTCTCCTTTCTGGCATCTTTTTCTCCTCCTAACTTCCACAAACAGGCACTCCCAAAAGTTACATTCTTCTTCCTGGCTCAAAAGATTGTCATCACGAGGTAGGGGAGGCTTTAAAAAGTGACAAGATCTGATTTACTTTTTTTTCCCCAAGTTCATTCTGGTGGCTGCAAAAAGACTGGATTGTAGTTCTGCAAGAGTACAAGTAGAAACCTGTTAGATACTGCAGAAAGTCCATGTGAGAGATGACAATCCAGGATGGGGGGTGGGGGGGAGCGGGTAGTTGCTTCTCTGTTCCTGTGGCCCATACCCTAGTTTGAACCATCCATTACTTTTTATGTGGACCACTGGAACACTCTGACTGCCTCTAGTCTTTCAATAACTAATCTTTCCTACCTGCCACTGCTGTAGAAATCTTTTTTTTAAGGTTTCTCTTTAAATGTCTCCTCATTTTCCACAGAATGAAGTCTATTCTCTTTAGTCCGGCATTCAAAACACTTCATGATCCAGTCCCTTCACTCGACTAGAAATGGTCTCCTGGTTGTTTTTGCTTATGCGTGTGTGGTTTCTAGTCAGTGTGTCCTCCCCTGGCTCTCATCCCCACCAAGTAAAATCCTATCCACGCACTAAGACCATCTCAAATGCCACTGAGTAGGAATCCTAGTTGCCATTTATTAAATACTCAATGTTTATTTATTAAATAATCTAAGCATCCTATATTCATTATCTGACTGCTGCATTGCATACAGTTCCTTGTGTATTTCTCTCATCTCTACAAGAATGCATATTCCCTGAGAGCAGAGATCAGATTGTAATTCATCTTGAGAATTGAATCCTTAGCTGTAGTGTACATTTAGCTGATGCAGATAAATGTTTGATGAACGACTGAATGATCACAGAACTTTGAACTAGTTGCTATGGGAATATATAAAAGAAGCATAAGTTAAAGAACACATCACAGGGGGGAGAATATTTCCAGAATGCTAAGTATTCAGGGAATACTAAATAGAGGGTTGAGCAAAGTTAAATTTAACACAAAGTCATCCTGGAGGAATGAAGTTTACATAGTAAAGGGAATGTTCAAAGGCTTCAGCGTCAGGCAGACCTGGTTTTGAATTCCTGCTTTTCTGCTTAGTAAGTGTGTGATGTTGAACAATTATTTTTTCTCTCTAAACTGCCTCTGTAAAATGGGCATATTACAACATCCTTCATAGGATTTCATCTTTTGCAAAATGAAATGAGATAAAATATCCAAGTGCATATCACAATGCTTTATAAGTGTTTAAAGAGTCAAAAAAAGCAAGCTAGATTTTAAAGGAGGTAAGGATATTGGATTGTCTGAGGGGTGTTCCTAGGTCACTTCAGGTTAATGTGAGAGGTGGAGGCTTGAGCATTGGCCAGCTTGCATCATATCATAGGGGCTGCCAGGAATGCAGAAATACTGATGATAATTCTAGAACTGCTTCAGGATATTGTTAATGTAGACCCTCACACTAAACCTAAAATATGTAAGTAACCCTTGTATAGTTAAAGAAGCAAAAGGAGGGAGGGAAGGGGAGCTGCAGTTCCCAAACGTCAGTGAAAGTATCTGCTTACCCCCTTACTCCACGTGAATTTTCAAAGAGTAATTTGACATCATTACTTGATTGAAATCTACAAAGCAATTTCCAGAGTACTGGCCAGCCTCTTAGGAAAGTGCTCTAGGCTTTGCCAGAGTAAATTATTGATATTGTTAACTCCTACATGGACATGGATTAATGATGAAAAGGAATAAACTAAAGTTGTGGTACAGAATTTACTGTGCAAACTTTCCCAACCCTTTGCGCCATTAATTAGTCCCCCCCCCCCCGCGCCCACACACACACCCAAAAGCCTATCTAATGTAGCTCGGTGATATTGGGCTCCGGTGGTCAAACTGTGTCGTTTTTAAATATTTATATGGTTGTATTTGCAGATTGAAACGATGCGTAAAGAGTTGAGCCTGCTTTTTTTTTTTTTTTTTTATTTTCCTTTTTTTTTTTTTAACCCCAACAAACCTTCGCGGCTATTTTAGTAATTAGCCCCGGCTCTTCCGCTACCCGAACCCCTCGAAACTACATCTCCCAGCATGCTCTAAAGCTGGTCTGACCTCATCTCAAATGGCCCCGTAGGGCAACAAGGATGGTTAGTTTTGACCGTGCTTATTTGTGCCATAAAATATTGATCTTAATTGGCTGCTATTTGGGCTTTTATATTTGCCGGCCTCCCGTTTTTGAGCCGTGGTCACTAAATGAAGAGGTTCTGGCCTGGGAAGGCCCATGCATTCCTTCAATTGGATGGGGAGCTGGGATAGTGTCTCTGGCGACAGCGCGAATAGGAGGGAATGTTGACCAGGGAGCACCGCTGCGGCCGTTCAGAGGAGCAGGAACCGGAGCCCGGGTTGAGTCCGAAAAAAGCCGGATCCAGACGGCGGCTCCGGAACGGCTGCAACTGGAAGATGGAGGAGCCGGAGGAACCGGCAGACAGTGGGCAGTCGCTGCCTCCAGTTTACATCTACAGTCCCGAGTATGTCAGCATGTGCGACTCCCTGGCCAAAGTCCCCAAACGGGTAAGAGAGGTGGGGGGAAAAGACCGTGGGCTTTTGGGGTGGGGGTGGGGGCCTTTGGACCCGAGGCATTAGGAAGGGGTTGAGGATTGAGCTGGGGAAAATCAGCAGAAATTTGGGCAGCTGCACCAGGTGATGGGGGAAGTGTTCCCTTGTAGTTTCTGAGAGTGCAGCATTTATCTGCGGGGCGTCCAATGCATCGGTTGAGGTAGGAGTGCGGGGGAGGGGATGGCACTGAGGGGTTGGTGTCTCTACTACAAGGGACCCCTGAAGTGGGGAAGACGCTGCAGGAGAGAAATGTTCCCCTACCTCCATAAGGCCCGGTAGCTTTCGCCTTAGCAATTTGTCTAAAGTGCATTTTAACTGTTAAGTAAAAAGAGGGGCGTTAAAAGTTAGTTTCTTTGTTCAGGATGATGAAGTCGATGGTATTTCTCTGAATTAAACATTTAAGAGACTTGTATTCTGCCTTTTTTTTTTGCTTTTTTTTTTCTTTTTTGTTGTTTTTAGGCCAGCATGGTACATTCTTTGATTGAAGCATATGCACTGCATAAGCAAATGAGGTAAGTTGTCTTTCATGAACAGAGCCCTGAACCTAAGTGTTCTAGCCTTAATGTCCTACTTCACAGTGGAGCAAATTAGGAGAATAGTCTTTTTGGTTTGTTTGGTTTTTTTTTTCATTTTTTTTGTAATCAGTGTTTGTAATCTATCTGTAACCTAGTGAAACTTCTTGAAGAATTAAGACCTGAAGAAAAATGCCTGAGGTAGTTAAGATCCATTAGAAATAAGACTTTGTTGCTGGAAGGGAGAGTATTTTAGGGATAGGTGCTCTGTGGAGATTTTGAGGAGAGTACATTAGGACACTAAAACCCATCTGATGAAGGGGGGGAATAGATGTGTGGCTAGGAGGTGTTCTGGGGTTTGTGTGTATTTGTTTCCAAGCCAGATGTGAGGGTGTGTGTTCAACTTCAGACTTTTAGACACCCCATCACCACCACCAAACTATTAGCAGTAAGCCTGGAGACAAATCAAGACTAAAGCGAAACTGCAACCAGACCAGAACTCAGCTAAGAGTTCTGAGTTAAGTGCTTCTTTTAAGTGCTTAACTCAGAGTTAAGTGCTTCTTTTAAAAAAAAAAAATGAGCTTGCTGTTAATCTTTATAAGAGTAAATATTATAACCCTGTCTTGTAGGATTATTTGTGACATTGTCTGGCCAAATAGGTGAGTGTCTGCACGGGCTTGTGTGGTATGCTTCATTTATCTCCCAGAAGTTTGTGTAATAGGCTTTCAAATTTTATTCTTATTATTAACAAAATCATTTATGGAGTACCGTATTTTTTTAACCCATATGTGTGTTAGACATAAGAACTACATGCCTTCCATTTATTTAACTTTTCTTTTAAAAAATATTTTATTTGTTTATTTACTTGCAAGAGAGAGAGAGAGAGAAAGAGCACAAACAGGGGGAAGAGCAGGCAGAGAGAGAGGAGAAGCAGACTCTCCCCTGAGCAAGGAGCCCAATGTGGGACTCGATCCCAGGACGCTGGGATCATGACCTGAGCCAAAGCAGACACTTAACCGACTGAGCCACTCAGGCATCCCACAGTTATTTAACTTTTCAAAAGTTACTTTAAGACAAACAAGAAATCAGTGCAAAGCAAAACTGTCCCATTCCCTTGCTATTAAGCGGAGAGGCTTTCCATATTTGTTAAACAAGAGGAAGGATGCTAGAAAAGATACCTATTAGGGCTGGGAAACATGGTCCAAGAAACTGTAGCATTTATATTTTAATGTGCAGATTTGTCACCTCTGAGGATGTAGGCATATTTTCTTGAAGGAGAAGCAGGAATCCTTGGCTCTTGACCCTATACATGATTTTTTCGAGACTGAGCTACAGGATTTTTCTGACTTGCTTTGTGATACTAGTAGCCTCTATGATCATATTAATTCATGAAAAACTCATGGCTGAGTTCCCATTCAGCAAACATAAAAAACCACCACACTGCTACCTCCCTGTGACTTAGGTCATTGCTCTTCCAACTTGAATGTACCTATGAATCACCTTGTTAAATACTGATTCAGGAAATCGGCGGTGGGGTGGGGGGGCTGAAGTTCTGCATATCTAATTAGCTTCTAGGTGTTGCTGCTGCTGCTGGTCCATAAACTGCCCTTTGAGTGGCAATGGCAGAGTCAGGGAGAGAAAATGGGGAGTAGGCAGCTAGAGGTTAGATGTGATAAGTCCTGCTGTAAGCTTAGTCACCCTGTATTCTTTCAGTCACTTCTTTTCTTTTAAAGATTTTTTCATTTATTTGAGAGAAAAGGAGAGAGAGTGGTGGGAGGGGCAGAGGGAAAGAGAGAATCTCAAACAGACTCCCCATTGAGCACAGAGCCTGACCCAGGGCTTCATCTCACGACCCTGAGATCATGACCTGAGCCAAAACCAAGAGTTAGATGTTCAGCTGCCACCCAGGTGCCTCTCTTTCGGTCACTTCTATTTGTCACTTGTCGTGAGGAGTTGATTGAGAGCTTCTGAGTGAAGCCCAGTTCCAACCAGTTTGCCCCTTCTCTTTTTCCTCTCAGAGGTAGATGTGGCACACCAAGTAGAGAAACTTTTATGTTTTGAGTTGCCACATTTTATCTTTTAATATTAATAATAATGATAGTTATCCATAAAGCATTTTCATGTTATCATTTAATCTTCACATATGTCCCATTAGATCTCCCTACTTTATAGATGAGAAGCTGTTAAGTATGGAGTTAAAAAGAGGTGCCCAGTTCTCTGGCTCCAAATTCAAAATTCATGAAAATACAGTTGCCTATTAAAGTTAAAATATAGAGTTAAGTCTTGATTTTGGCTCAGGTCATAATCTTAGGGTTGTGAGATCAAGCCCCATGTCGGGCTCCATACTGGGCCTGGAGCCTGCTTAAGATTCTCTCTCTCCCTCTCCCTCTGTCCCTCCCCCCTGCCTCTCCCCTTTCTCCCTCCCTCTTTAAAAAAATAAGTAAAAAAATAATAAAGTAAAAATATAGCTGAAAGGATTATATGTACCAATTAGGAACTGACTCAAATGAGAATATCTCCACCTACTAGTTTGTCATGCAAGTTGTAACTTCGCAGAGTGAAGTTGGTCCAGTATCTGTTTAACTTGAATATAATTACTCACTTTTTTTTTTACCTACCTATAAACTCAGGGGGAAGATCTGCCCTCTCACCCCTTATTAATGGAATCATTATATAGATGTGAGGAAGTGAGGACTAGATGGTGCAGTAGGAGAACAGAAGGTGTTCATTATTTCAGCCCACTGGAACTGGAAGCTGCGAGTTGTATTTTCTGCTCAGACTGCTGGCTCCTGCTTCCAGTTTCTGGCATACTCTGGGTCTGAGTCACTCACCTCTCTTTGTTCTCTGTTATTATTAGGATAGTTAAGCCCAAAGTAGCTTCCATGGAGGAGATGGCCACCTTCCACACTGATGCCTATCTGCAGCATCTCCAGAAGGTCAGCCAAGAAGGAGATGACGATCATCCAGACTCCATAGAATATGGGCTAGGTAAAGTCATTGCCGGGTAATGATGGGAGGTAGATGACCTCCATCTGTAAATTTTAACCACTCATCTTATGATTGCATGATGGTCTTTCATATTTGTTAATTAAGAACTAATGTGTTAACCACAATCTTAATCTCTTAGTTTAGATACACATATCTCACTTACGGAGCAAACCATACGAACTGAGCAAAACTGAATGGTGGGTCAGATGGGGGAAGATCTTTTAGTTGCCGAAGCCCTAATAGTAGTCCCCAGATTGGGTCTGGCTGCATATATGCTGATGTAACTGTCCCATGACCTTATATTTTAACTTGAGTACATATTTATGTTCCAGCTAAGTTTTCAACCCTGCTTGAGGTTGAACAGTTGTATTTTTTAAAAAAACTGTAGGTGGCCGATAGGCTAGTCTAGAGAAACACCATGGTTTGGTAGAACCCTGGTCTGGGAAATGGGTGAGTCAAGGGACATGGGTCCCAGGCCTGGCTCTCTGTGACCATAGAGAAGACATATCACCTCTCGGGACTCAGTTTCTCCATCTGTAGGATGTGACTAGCTAATCTTGAAGGTTTAGCTTTTCTAGTTCCAACACTTCAAAAAATTCTTTGCCAAACATTGGAGATATTTATCTCTCATTTGGAAGCTGATGTTAGCACAGAAGCTTTTTGGTAATATATGTTATTTTTGCACCTCAAACTACTACTCCCAGTAGGGTTCTAAACCCAGTTCTAATGTGTGGAGGTGGGGCTTTCCTCTCACACCACCTGCAATGCTCAGGACACTAGCTGGGTGACCTACAATTCGACTCAATTCTGACACTGTCTACCTGGCAATAGCATCAGGTCCCACAGGTTAAAGGCTCCCTCCTACAAGACTACTCGGCACTTCACATGCCAGTCACAAGCCCAGCTTGTTACCTGTGCTTCTGACTGACTGGCTATAAATCAGAAGGTTCCCACAAACACCCTCTTTTGGGTTGAATTTGCTAGGGCAGGGCGCAGAACTCAGGGAACCCATTTACTCACTAGACTACTGGTTCATGGTAAAAGGATATAACTCAGAACTGCCAGATGGAAAAGATGCATAGGGCAAGGGATAACCAAAGGTGTGGAGCTTCCATGCACTCTCCAGGCATCACCCTCCCCCCACATCTCCACACTCACCAAATCAGAACCTCTCCCAGCCAGCCTTTTGCATTTCTATGTAGGCTTCATTACATAGGCATGACTGATTGAACCTTTGGCCCATGGGTCATTGAATCTCCAGCCCCTTCCTCTCACAGGAGGAGGTCAGGGGGTAGAACTGGTAATTCCAACCTCCAATCACCTGGTTTGCCCCACTGCTCATCCCCACCCTGATCCTGAAGTGTGATCCACAAGTCACCTCATTAACACAACAGAGACAACTTTACTGCTCTCCTCACTTAGGAAATTCCCACAGTTTGAGGACCTGGGTGTCAGACATGGGGAATGAAGATCACCTAGGGGTATTTCTTATTATGTAAATCACAGTATCACACCTCTTCTTTCTCCACTTCATCTTGTAACAAGCTCTTCTGATGTTTGCCCGAAGGTTATGACTGCCCAGCCACTGAAGGAATATTTGACTACGCAGCAGCTGTAGGAGGGGCCACTATCACAGCTGCCCAATGCCTGATTGATGGAATGTGCAAAGTAGCAATTAACTGGTCCGGAGGGTGGCATCATGCAAAGAAGTAAGAAAATGACCTTTCTGCTTTCTGCCTCTTTCCTTGAGTCAGTTTCTCAGTTATGTAAACTCTTCTGCTTATTGTCTGGGCATTCAGTGAGAGATCTGTGTACAAATATAGCACTTTACGAGGCATTCTGAGGAGATACAAGTGGAGCAGAAGAAGGTGACACAATATAGTGGAAAGCACTCTATTGAAAGTCAGGATACCTGGGCCCCGTGCCTAGTTTTTCTGCAGACTTGGCTAACTGACTTGGAAAGATTAACCTCTCTAGGACTCAGTTTCTTCATCAGGAAAATGGGTGGGGGCGAAGGATCTAACTAGATAGTCTGTACGTTCCTTTCCCAGCTTTTTGGAAATTCCCCTGTCTTCAAGGGACTTATGCTTTAGAGACACTCACAGAACTAGAATAATTAGGGAACAACATCAGTTTTGGTACCAACCGAATATGTATATGAGCTGAGATTTTAGCGCTATGCAGAAATTAATCGTGGAAGTCTTGGGAGAGGTGCATTTTAGAGCTGGTCCTTGAAGGAGATGGCAAACAGATTTCCAAATAGGTGGGAAACTGATGAGAATAGATTTAAAATAAAAGGCTGACAAATCAAGAAGGAAGCTTTTGCTGCCATCTCCAAGGCAAGTGGCAACTGACTGAGAGAATTAAGTGTCACTCAGGAGAAAGGGCTTCTGAAACAGCGGTTCTCAGGTGCTACTTGGAGCTAGAGAAGTCCTTTTGGAGTTTCATGTTGACATTTCAAACAGCTCCATCCTGTGTGTGACAAGGACTGCGGGGACGGCATTTGTCATCTTGCTTGATAGGCTTGCTTGCTATGTGAGTAGTACTTAATACAGACTGGAGGGGAAGAATTTTTAAAACTCTGAATTGCTCTATGGGCTGTGTGAGTGAAATGAAGCGACGGCCGTAGTAACTGGTGATACATCTTTCACACGCCAGTTGTTCATACTGTTGGCCATGAGCTTGATCATCCTTGGTGCTCTTGAGTCCAGATAAAATGGCGCTTTATTTCTCAGACTAAAACCCTGAGCACAGTTTCAGCATATGGAGGTTAAGATAAGAACATGGAATTCTTTTCATCAAATCAAAAGCTTTCATGACCAAGGAAGTCCTTGAGAAAGTTTACTACTAGAATCTACTACTGAGGTGATGGAGCAGAGAGAACCAGTGTTTAATAATGAGTTTTATGTGGCCTTAGAAACAAAGAGAAACTACCTACCTTTGTTAGCTCTTGCTCCATTAAAAAATTTGAAAATAAAGACAGTGATCCCTAGGACAAAAATAAATAAGTAAATAACCTTCTCACCTTTAAACTACAGATGAAAGGTGGGGGAGGAGGTAAAAAAAAAAAAAAAAACCAAGCCTCTCTGAACCAAGGACCTCTATTCCCTTTTGCACTTAGCCAGTTGAGAAGAAAGGCAGTGTGCTTTCATGGAAAATGCCTGATCCTGTTAATCAGACCTGCTTTCTGCGTGGGGCACTGGAGGATCTTCTATACTTAAATTCCCTGCTTAAGGCCTGCAAGGGCCTGGGTCAGTTTCCAGTGGACTACCCAGATACCTGCCACTTCTTCTCACTGTTTTGCTTTGAAATGAAGCATACTCTATCTAGAGCCAATCATGGCTGCTTCTGGGCTGCGTGTAGGTAGGTATTATCTTAACTGTTTCAGACAGTTTTCAGCTGATCCTACCTGGAAACAGACACTGTGGTGGATATAAATTACAGAGAGTTTCTAGGGCTTTCCCCAATTCAGGTCCAAATTCCAGGGGGTTCTTGGCACCTCTAGAACGTCTCTGCAGGGGGACCACAGGTATTGAGCCCATGAACCGACATCTAGCCAGCATTATCTATCATAAGCGCAATATTTGTTTAAACGTTGTCATCCCCAAATACATGTATAGATTCATACATGCCATTTAGCCATTCAACATGCACTGATTAAGCACCTACTGTATGTCAAGCACATGTTTATCATCACTAATAAGCAGAGAGATAAAAATTGAAGCATGGTATCTTTCTCCCTTACCAATGTTGAAAAAAAAAGTCTTCAAAATATCCTCATGCTGGCATAATTACAGTGAAATTGGCACATTCTTTTTGAAAACTTTGGGAAAAGGTGTTGAAAGAGTGGGGAAAATATTCCTACCTGTATGACCCTGTAATATTGTTCTTGTCTATTCTAAGGAAATGAACCAACCCAGCCTTCACAAAATTTGTATCTTAGAGGTAAGACAGCAAATAATTGCATTTGGAAACTAAAGAACAATGATTTTCAAAGAAATTCCTTAAAAGAAGAGTGATGAGTGACTGCTGTTAGATATTAAACATACAAAACTAGAATAATGAAAACACCAGTACTGCTGGTATAAGATGAGACAGATGATATTATACTACACTCCCCAAAGAGACTGTTATATATAAGAATTCAGTCTATTGTAAAAGATGCTTTGCAAGTAGATGGGAGTGGAAAGGATTATCCAGTAAATGATGTTGTGACAGCTGGTAGCATTTATACCCTCATCTCCTATAATAAACTAAAATAAGTGGCAGCTAGATTGAACAGTTCAATGTAAAAAAGCAAATTATTAAAAAAACTAGAATGAATGGATATTTATCAAGCTTCTCAAGGAGAATAGTTTTTTTATGCTTAGGAAGTAATAGGAAAAAAAAATCTCCCAAAGGGAAAGCTCAACAAATTTAGCTGCATAAAATTTTAAAACCAAAATCACTTTTAAAAGTTTTGTGGCCATTTAAAACACAAAATCTAAATACAGACTAAAAAGGCATATTTGACATAAATATGACAAAGTGTGTTTGTATTTCCTAAGGCACTCCTGTGGTATGATGTATAAAAAGAAGTATGGGCAAAGAACGTGAAGAGAAAATTTACAAAGGTGTTTAAGTACCATGGGAAAACCTGGGGCAGTGTTCATTGCTACTGGTCAAAGAAATGCAAATTTAAACGAGGTGGCCCCTTTTTAAGCCAGAATTGAAAAACATGGTACTCAGTTGGCTAGTAAGAGCATGGTTTGTTTCAACCTCTTAAGAAAGTAACTTGGTAGCTAAGGTATATTAGTGCCCTCTGTCTACTTTAGGGATAGGATCAATGCCCTTTAATCCTACTCCTGAGAAAACAGTCAAAATATGGAAAAAAAACTATTTGCATGGAAGTGCTTATCAGTGTTCTTTGTGAAACAGAAATATTAGCAATAAAATGAATGTGTAGTAGTAAGGAAATGGTCAATCTGCTCCATAGAATATTATGTATTACTTTAAATGATTATTGTGAAGATTGTATAAGGCATTTCAGAAAAAGACTTGTGTTAATGAAAAGGCAGGTTTTAAAATTGTATGCACACCACAACTACAACTTTGTAGAACACACACATATTTAAAAAAAAAAAAGCAGTGGGAATAATGATAGTGGCTATGTCAGGGTAACAGAATTATTGATGACTTTTTTAAAACTATGTTTCTGTAGTTTGCAAAATTTCTGTAATGAGATTTTATTACTTTTACAGTTAAAATATTACCAAGACAAGAAGAGGGGAAAAAATAGTACTACAAAGGGTTAAAATCTTTATTCTAGGGGCGCCTGGATGGCTTAGTCAGTTAAGCTTCCAACTCTTGATTTCTGCTCAGGTCGTAATCTTAGGGTTGTGGGATCTAGCCCCGCATCGGGCTCTGTGCTGAGCATGGAGCCTGCTTGGGATTCTCTCTCTCTCTCTCTCTCTCTCTCTCTCTCTCTCTCTCTCCCCCCTCTCCCCTCCCTCCATCTTACTCTCATCTCTCCCGCCCAAAAATAATAAAATCTTTCTTTTAATTGATTTTTTTAGAATACTGAAACTTAGATAAGTGGACAAAAGACAGGAACAATTCACCAAAGAGGAAACAAATAGTAAATAAACATGAGTAAATATTTAGCATTACTAAAATTACAGGAAGGGAGATTGAAACATAATATACACCTGTATGTATTTGTCTCCTCCCAAATTTGAGTTGAAAGAAGAAAGATTCTCAACTCATATATCTATTACTCTCGGTAATCTAAGGAAATAAACCAATCCAAAAATATTGGAAAACTGTGTGTATGAAGATGGTAATTTCTCTCTTAATTATAATAGCCAAAAAAAGTGGAGGGGTGGGGGAAAGAGAGAGACCTAAATATTCAACAACAGCAGAATGTTCAGAATGTTTACATAGTATGCTGTAAGATACTCACTTGATAGGCTATTATGTAACCATTAACAAGTGATAATTAAGATGACTATGTAACCCAAAAAATGCCTATTTTGTAATGTTGGTTTTGTTTTTAAAGGGCAGGTAGCTACAACATTGCACATTCACTCCATTTAGTCATGTAAAAAATAGATGCTTATGAAAAACTCTTAGAAGGAAATACAACAAAATGATACCAGTGACTTTGTGAAGATGATGATGCTGTGAGAGATAAAGAGGTATACACACACACAGACACGCACACACACATCTTTCTTCTGTTTCCTATATTTTTCATGTATTTTCTCTAACTTATATTAGTTTTATCAGTAGAACGTTTTATAGTAAAAACACCTTGGAACAAGGTAGGAAGTGGTTACAATACAGACACAATATGGTCAGTGTATGCTACAATTCGGTGCAAGGTAGTGGAGTGTACAGAAGGAGGAGAAGGAGTTTGCCTTCCCTTCAGTGGGGATAGAGAATTCCAAACAGAGGGAATAATAAAAAGCATGGCAGTGGGAGGTATGAGAGAATTACAAGTAGTTATGGTGAATTAGTTATAGAGAACTATAAGAGTTAAATGTGGCCAGGATGTGAGAGCAAATAGAGCAAAAGCAGATTATTAAGGATTTGTCAGCATGCTGAGGAGTTGGACTTTTTTTCTGGGACCAGTGGGGATTTACTGAAGAATTGTAGAGAAGGTGGCAATATGCTGTTTGGATCAGGGGAAACTGAGACTAGATAGGGAGGAGAAGGCCATCCCTGGAGT